GGGGGGGATAAAGTTCTGAAGTTTGCAAACATCCTTCTTCTATGTGTTAATTTTGTTCCTCAAACAAATCTTTATAATTATTTGAGGGTAGGCTAAAAAGAGCTCCAGAATAATCACGTTGAAAGATTTTGTTTGTTTTTAGTGTTTTAGTTTCTTCATAGCAAAAGACAGATACAATACAGATGTGAGCAAAATGTGAACATTGTGGCGCATATGTGCAACACTTCCTTTTTGTCAGAGATGAAACCTGCATGGAAGTGACCTCCGAGGGTGGAACTCTGCATTCCAGAAATGTTGCTCAGTTTAGCACAGGACAGTGTTGGGAACGTACTTGTTCATATGATGGTGGTGTGTGTGCACTAAACAACCATGTGGTTCTGAGATACTGCTCATACAAATTGAGCTGCTGCAGAGGGTTAGCCTGATGAGTGACTGGGTATTCATTTTTATCAGCTCCTGATCAATAGCATCTATACTTAACCCTTCACAATATTAGAACCCTTCACTGTTTGTGCAAAACCACTGCTATTTGGTATTATTTGCGTCCTTTTAAATTAATCCAATAAAATAAAATTAGTAAATCCGACAGATATAACAGCGGATATCTACGGGGCAGAGCCTTGGTTGCAATCCTGTGAAGCTGAAGTTGCATCAGTGCTTTAGTCCAGGTTAAATGCAGCAGATCTGACTGCTTTCCTTCCTGTTGATGTTGTCTGGCGACTGTGGGCTTCAATCATCTGTATTGTGGGAACATGATGCCATCTGACAGTATTTTACCATCCCTCAAGGCTAGATGTCTCAAGACTGCTTTATGCTAGTGGAGGAGTAGAGCATGACTGGGGCCTAGACGGAGAATGGCATAATATTATAAATCGGGATTAGTCCTTCGAGTCTTTTTGTAACTGTATTACAGTATGGCCTTAGAATTCTACATAGGTGAATAAATTGACAGCCGGGACTCTGTTTTCCTTAGGTTATTTACTCATTTAGCCAGTCCTATGCTGACTCTGGAAACACCAAACTCTGGCTTCAATAGTAGTACTGGTCAGTAAATATTTGCTCCTGAATTCCAAAGATAGTGTTGCTTGTAATTAATTAAAATTGGTAAGACAGTAAGACACTGTGCTAGCTTCTTTTTCTGGGATCTTGAAGCTTAGGTACTGATACTGTCTTACTCATTCCCCTTCCACTGATGTTTTGGTAGTTGTTGTCAACTGGACTCAAATTTACTAGGAGCCATTTTGTACACATTTGTGTATATATGCGGGAATAAGATACATGGATATCTAGGCTTTATTCATTCTGCTCTTCACAGAACAATTTGGGGGCATTTTCCTTCTTTTGAAGGCACAAAATTTGGCTTGCTATGCTGGCAACAAAAGTATTACATTAAAACTTGCCAGAATTCAAACTGTTTGTTTTGGCATTTGTATCTTCTATATGAAAAGGCCAACATGCTGCAATTTTTTATGCCAAAACCACAACCATCCTGGGCACTTGTTTGCTGTGGATGTTAAAATTTCTAAGTATGACTGAGGCGGTTTACTATCATGCAGATTTGCATTTTTCCAAAAAGTTCCAAGCTTACTTATGCATTTTTTATGTACATTCCCAGACAATTAGATTTGCACCTAGCTAAGTAAAACAAATGCAGAGCTGCATAGTTCGTAGGAACCATGACCAATGGCAGTGCGCTGTCAGTCACCTGCAACTTTGCAGTGACAAGCAAACATACCGTTCCTCCCCTGCAGCTGACGTTTTACTGGTATCAAGCCTGACACCTATAGGTGAAGAACCCTTTCTGTCCCAAACTAAAGAGAAAACCCAAAGCCCATTCATTGCAGAAGTCTTTATTTTACATAATTAATTTTCATGTGGTCAAAGAAAAAATCTGATTCTTTGATAATTAAGGCTATAATTTTCAAAAGGTAATACTTTTGCTTCATATTTGCTCTGTTGAAACTTCTAGAAATATGGCAAGTTACCCTTCCCAGAGTCCTCTGGAAAAAAAAAGGTGTCTGACAGTGTAGTAAGGCTGGTGGAGCAGTGTCATGTCCCCCATTAAATTTCTCTTGTAGTTGTTGCTTAGAAACATAGTAGTTAAGCAGCTTTAAGTTGAGAGTCCACTGCAATGTATTCTTACTTAGCAGTTATGCTGGCTGAACTGTCTCTCTAAAAAAAAAAAATCCTATGTAGTATTAGTACTGAGATATTCAATGAATGCACTAGGCTCTGTTTTACTGAACATCCTAAAACACGCTTATCAGTTGTGATGTAGTCCTGCTCACACTGAAGTTGTTTAAACATGTTCCATTACTTTGTGTGTTTGTGTTTAGCTGTAGTTAGTAGAACTACAGTTGAGTCGTGCCTGAACAGAAGCAGTTTGTTTTTTTGTAAAAGGGACTTGATTTTCCTGGTATAAATTTTGATGTCAACTGCCACGTCTGCTGGTAGACTCCGTGCAGACTCCCTTTTGATTCTGTTTTTTGACTTTCAGTCCTAAAATGCCTTGCAAAGATCCCATTAAGAAACAAGTTCGGAGGAAGGTCTGTTGTTATTAGTGTTATTCTGAATAAGTGACTTCCAGACTCCAATATGGTACCTTTCAACAACACTAAATTTACTTAAACTCTCCCAAAGAAATCACAAATCCACCCATATCTTTCAGAAATTAATTTGCTGTTGCAGTAAGGACTCATGCCAATGTGCATGTCTTTAATATTACCAAGTTAAATCATCTTGGCTGCAGCTTTTTATTCACTGCAGAAAGCATTATATTAATATTCTGATTAGGTACAGATTAGTTTTTTGATGGAATAATTTTGAGTAAGTAGAATACATGAAGCACTGCAGCAAGATTATTGTGGTTCAAAGCACAGCACTTTGCATTTTGTTAATACTGTGTAATTCTTACTGGCATTTATGCAGTTGAAACAGCAATGCATTTATTTCAGCATTTGTTTTAGGGAATTTAAGAGACATTTAAGCAAGAAAACATGTTTTTGTTTGGGGTTTTTTTTTTTAATGGAACTACACTTTCTGAGCTGTGCAGTGTTTCTGGCCTGCTGCATAGTAGAACATTTTTCTGATGAATGTGATAATACTGTGAACATAAAAATCCCACAAAAATGTTTTGATTATGTGTATTTAGAACTGCGGTTGAAGTATCACATTTATCTTAACATTAGACTTTGTGAGCTATAACTTGCCACAAAACAATTAAACATTTTATTTTCGCCTTAACAGGATGATGATGCTTTGTCTTCTTAGCAGAACACTGCAACTAGCAAGACATTCATGCAGTCCACTGTGGAGACAACTCTCTTCAGCCAGTGCAAATAAGCCAGTGTTGACTTTATTCACCAAGGTAAAAGTTGTTTACAGAATAAAGCTAGGCAAGACTGCGTATTTATGTGCTTTGATTTACATGAATCCCAGACAAAATGACTTGGCCATGCTGATTGTAGCAAGCAAGTAGCTACAACCAACAAATGAAGATTTCAAGATAGTTGTGACACTATCAGTGACACTGTGGTCCATGTACTAGTTGAAAATTGTGCTCTAACTGCTGGTGTTTCTCCTGGAAATGAAGAACAAAGATGAGTTGTTACATATAATCTGCTCAGAACAAGCATCAGCAGCCAAAGTATGCTCTTCAACATAATTATGTTTATTCAGCACTACCTGTGAGACTGAAGACATATGCAAGTAGTGTTGGCGGTGCAGGAGGAAAAAGTAGATTGTCCTTTACCCTCTTTTTGATTTATTGGCTGTGTAACACTAACAGGAATAAAATGCAGGCAAAAGTTTTTCTGTCGCATGACCAGATAGGATTCTTAAGCATATTTAGAAAACAGATGTGATGAGCAGGAACGGTCATTTATGAACAGTCACCTTCCATGAATTGTCATCAGGAGCCTGTACTACCAGCAGAGATCTTCCTGCACTTTTAGATGGGATGGCTCACGGTGGGCTATGGTGTATTTATATGGTTGATGTAGCCTTCAAGAGGAGAGTAACTAGAAATGCAAAACACTGAGAAATTTGACATCAGTATGGCGGTATTTTTTGGAGATGGATACGATTAAAACAATTTCTTCCTCCTGCACAATATTTGTTCATTCCAGCCCTAGCTGTAAAAGAGTGTTTAAGCTGGTTTTCAGAGCATAAGGACTTGTCTGTGTGGAAAAGACAATTTAGATTAGATGTGAATTAAAAGTATTTAATCCAAATTAATTAACACGAAGGAAGTATGAAGTAGCTGTTCCAGGTTAACCCCTTGTTTAAACAAGCCCTGGGAAGATATTAAGTGGGAGGAAGAGGAGAAGGTCTTTTCCAGCTGTGAGAAATATTTCATGGCAAAAGGACAGAGCCATCACTTCCATCACTCTCTATTTTGCTATGTGAATTATAGGCCAAATTCTGCCATTACAAGCACTGAAGCAATATGCCTCCATGGAAGTCACTTCTTCAGGTGTGCACTGCTCTAATGATCATGATGCATGATCAGCGGAAGTCAGCTGTGTAACTGTACTGGATGCCCATGGAGTTTTTAAAAATGAGAGGTTTTCTTTGATGCCATCACAGGTCGTGCAGTTTGACACACTGCAGCTCTTTGCCAGTTCTCTGTGCTGGAGGTTGCTATCCTCCCAGCTCTGCAGGTTGGAGGAACATGCTTAATTCCTTACAGGCAAAGTCAGTCAAGGTTATCCTAGATCATTTTTTTGCGCTATTTGAACTTATGTGATTTCCTCATTCCCCTTCTATGAAGGGAAATTCTGCTATACAGAGTGAGTACCCGCAGTTGTTTTCAGCTGGTAATGGCAGCGCTTTGAATATTCGTTGCTGCTGACTAAAGAAGGGGTCTGTGCATGACTGTCCAGATCATGCCCTTGAATCAGCCTTGAAGAGCTATTGAAAACTCTTAATTTGAACTATGAGAAAAATCATAGCAAATGAGAAGTAATTAAATTCTGTGGCTGAATAATTTATTTTCTTTTCATCTGTGCTGAATGGAGGAAGATTTAGAAGGCAGTAAGAGAGTATGGGGGAAGGAACCCACATATACAGTAATGGTCACTCCTGTCTGTGTATGTTATGTTACAGTACAAATGATCTGTGTGTTTTACTGTATGTTTTAAGTTGGTCTGAATATTTTTCCCTTAGAAACCTTGCCCTCTATGTGATGAAGCAAAAGAACTGCTTGAGCCATATAAGAGAAGGGTAATGTATTGCAATACTGTACCAATTTTCTATATGGAAAGAACAGTTAATCAGGATTCTTTCTTTGTAAAAGAAAGGATAAGTGGCAATGGCTTTAAATTGAAAGCAGGTAGATTTAGACTAGATACACAGAAAAAATTCTTCCGGGGGAGGGTGGTGAGGCACTGGAACAGGCTGCCCAGAGAAGCTGTGGATGCCCCATCCCTGAAGTGTTCAAGGCCAGGCTGGATGAGGCTTGAAGCAATGTGGTCTAGTGGAAGGTGTCCCTGCCCATGGCAGGGAAGTTGGAACTAGATGATTTTAAGGTCCCTTCCAACCCAAACCATTCTATGATTAAATGAAAATTGCTTGTATTTATTTGCATCTGTTATTCTTACATGGGTGACCTCTTCAAGACAATTTCAGCACTGATTTCCATAAAACTCATTATCCAAAAGCATTTTGAAACAATGCTACTCAAATAAATATTGGCAAACTAAAGCAATATACACCTTGTTACAATAATTTTTAAACCCACTGATTTTGTAAATACTATTGCCTTGTGTGATAGAGGAGTTTGCAACTTTTATGAGGCTGGTAATGATATCATTTAGGAAGGATGTTAATAAGTGAGGCTTCAAATATTTGAACTATATGTGACTGCAATTTCTGCCACCCTTCAACCAGGTTTTGATCTTTTTCTTGAAGAAAGAAACTGTTAATAGAAGCATTATGAAGTGTTGCACTCTGCTGCCTAACAGGCAGCTGTTGTGTTGCCATCAGCATATTTGTAGTTGGTGCTCACAGAAGAGTGGTTCTGCATAGAGGATCAACAGTATCATCCTGGACTAGGGAGAGAGTCGTTTGTCGACACGCAGCTAAGGATTGTGGCTACGTACATTTTGTACCCACAAAATTGGTAATTATCTACAGCATGGAAGAATAAATCCAAAAGCACCAAGAGAACAGCATTGCATTTCTGAAAAAAATGTTGATAAATGATCAAGCAGGTATTGTTTTTCAGTGTCAAGTAGGTACTAACATACTTCTTTTCTGTGCCAGTTTATTTTGCAGGAAGTGGATATTACCCTTCCAGAGAACACTGCATGGTATGATAAATACAAATATGACATACCTGTTTTTCACTTAAATGGGAAGTTCCTAATGAAGCATCAAGTAGACATTCAAAAATTTGAGGACCAGCTTAGGAAGCTGGAGTTGCAAAATAATACAAACGAGTGAAGAAAATGCAGCTGCTCTGCTGTGGATCTCAAAGGACTGTACAACATAAATTGTGTGAAAAAGCAGTATTCATTATCTGGCCTGGTCAACCCACCACAGCATTTCAAGATTGTACAGGTCTCTTAGAGACTTCCTTGAAGAAGTCTAGGAGTCTATCCTAAGTACTCATTTGAAATTATGATGATGGCATTTGCTGTAAATAAAAGGGACACGATTAAAGACAGCACACTGTCACCAAAACAGTCATATCTATATCACAATTTGATACAGCTGTTACATGAACACTGAATTTACTTTTCTTCTAACAGGATGAATGTATGTTGCACTAAGTCTATTTTGTCCGCTTGCAGCAAACATTGAGCTTCTTAGTACTTGAGTTACTTCTAGTCACAAGAAAAAATAAAAAGTGAACTATAATTGAGCCAAAAGAGCCAAATCTGTAATGAAAACAGCATTTATTAGCTACAAACATGTCTCTCTGCATGCTACTTTCTTCAGAGTATAAAATGAAATTAGAAACCCAAAAAGTGTCTTTAAAATTTTCCTGGCCTAAGATATGGGACTTCTCCCTTAGACTCCAGTTATGTTCTTAAAAAAATCCATGCTAATATACAATTATTTGCCCTGCTTAGGGATACTTGTGTCATAATTTTCCATCATTACATATCCCATGCACAGAGAAAACATGTTTCTCTGATGTTAGGGGAACAGCGTGTGAGCCTATGAACTAGAGTTCTGCGGTATTTAAGTCCAGTCATTAACACGTTCTAACAAAAGAATCATATTTCAGTTCTATCTGCAACACAACTGCAAATCCGTTTACCACATAGCAAGAATACCATTTTATCAAGGGTTACTGCAGTTCTGTGGGTGCATCATTGCCAGTGTAGGGATGTGAGGTAGGCAGAATGCCTGTTTCAGAAGGAGGAGAAAGATTAAAGAAAAGTTAAGTTGATTCATCTGTAATAAGCACTGGAGAAAGTTGATGGTATTTTTGATCTATTTAATGGATCCTTGAACACAGAAGCTAATCTCTACCTGCTGCATTTCTGTTCTTTCTACCATGGTGGTATGCAGTCTTCTCTCATCACTAGAAATTTAAACAGAGACACTTGACAGATGTGTCTTCACAGAGAGGAGAATCCAGACACAATACTCATTTAGAACAGCAAACTGAAATTCACTAGGATTCATTACTGACTTTAGCTTTTGGAGTATGGTTCAATAAGAAGCCGACTGATCAGCTATGGTAAAAGTGAGGAGTCTCTAGCATTTGGCAGATCATTTGCAACCCGATTCTGATGTATTCTGCAACATGAAAAATTTCTGGGCCATGGGCGATGAGAAAATAAAACTTTCTTCCACTTCAACTTGAGTCTGCTCAGGGGTCTGAAAGTATCCAAGAGTTCCCAGCAAGGACAGCTGTGCCCTTTTCATGGGAGAGAGCTTTCGGTAAGCTCAGCCACATCATCAAACTATAGCTTGTGATTTATAGGACTTCAGAACTTGCATTTCATAGCACTTCACCATCCTCAAGAGGTCTGGAAAAAGAGAGTGGCATCAAACTGGATATACTAGATTTGCAGGAATTGAAGAGAAGGTTAGAAGTTTAAGCATGTCCTTAATCCTGGTTAAGGCTTTCCATCAGCAATTCTGTAACTCATCCAAAAGTGAAATTACAGCCAACTATTGCTTCTAAAGGAAAACACTCACCCTGACCTTTCAATAACCAGTTTATTCTTTTTGTAGCCTTACTTTGCCTTTAGAACCTGCTGCTTTACCCTAATATGGTCATTTACATTGTAGAGGAAGAGTAAATGGGGGACGTTGTTGGGAAAAAAAAAAAAAGCTGAAACTTCTCAGGAGTGACTGATCTTGAGTAACCCAGTAAAGTGTTAAGTGTGATGCTTTCCACAACATGAGTGAGGAGAGAAAAAAAAAGGGCAAAATTTGAAATAGCAAGATACTTCTTGAATTGTGTATTGCAGCATAACTGTGCCCTATCCACAGTGTTTTTCATCATTATTGACAGAGGAACAGGACCCCAGAGACAAAAACTTCTAAAATTTCTGCAGTTCATAACGCTACAATTAAAATTCCAGGTGTACCAAAAGTTACTGTTAAATAATAAGTCTGAATTACCTCTGTGTCAGCAAGCCAAATGCCATTTGCTTTCCTTCTATAATTTGAGGTAGTTTCAGAGGGCTCAGGTTTTTCCTGACTCAGGTTTTGTAATAGCAGAACTGGCATACAGCACTTTTCAACCACAGTTCAAGCGCTTCTCTAAAATACAGTATTACTATCTCAAAAATATGGAGGACAGAGGTAATATGGACTTGCCCCATTTCCCCATATACATCACTGACAGAGACTGGAATAGCCATCAGAGAGCAATTTGCCTTTGTTTTATTTTTAATAACGTCTATTTTGGAGAGGGGGAAAAAAAAAAAAGGAAGCTAAAAGCAAACTTACTAATCACATAGGAGATGATGAATCCCTTCTTCCTTATTCATTCAGACTGTAGCCAGTGCCAGATAATATTTCCCCCTTTACTTTGTAACGTGAATGATGACAGGATTTTTTTTTAATAGCTTTTGTCTGTGGTGTAAGCTTTTTCAGTGAGATGGAGGTTTTCCACTAGTTCTGTATATGGGTGCTAGTTGCATATAATGCACCAGGAAGAGGTGGCTGCTTCTTCCAGTTGGTGCTTTTTCTTCTGGTGTACAATCAAATATAACCTTTTATTGTTCAGTTCTGTTTTCCTTGACAACACAAGTACCAGATTCAGGTGTGTGAGAAAGGTCATTTTAGACCCATGTGCAAGCAACAGGCCTGGACTCCAGGGTGAATGTTTTGTGTTATGGAAAGATCACTGCCAGCCACTTCCTCTCCAAACACCACACTGTCCTTCCAAAGCCAAAACATGGGATATACTGCTGAAATCTGCTGGCAATATCTAAGACGATGTTACTATTGTATTGTTTTATGGGAATGGAAACCCTATTCTCATCAGTTTGGACACAAAGGTAGGAGGTGGAAACATGTCAGTATGGACTGTTGGTGTCAAACCTCAAAGAAGGAGCTGTGATAAAATCGTTTCCAGATAAAACCCCTGCAGGCAAGGTGATGAGCAAGAGTCTGACAGTTCATTTTGAACCGTAGGTGCTACTTCAGCTTTCTCATTCCAAAATTAGGTTGTGTCAAGGTTGCTGAAGGTGTTATTCCCTTCTCTGTTACCTTCTCTGAAGAACTGAAGTATACTGAAGTGAAAACTCCAGTAGGCCACCTGCTTTGCTCATAATAAGGCATTCAGTGACTTATTTTCACAAATGAACACTGAGAGATCACATCTTCTAAGTAGCAGATCAGACAGAGAAGTGTTTCAGCATCATCTTCCAGTTCCCTGCCATTATCAGTCCTAAAAAGTCATGTGAACTTGTGATCACATAGACAAAATAATTTATTAACCTCAATGGGACCAGAATTTTACCTCCAATAGTTAATTACTTTGCATTTCCTTTGACAACAGGGGAGACTGAACAAGTGCTTGTGAGACTGAGCATGACTAGCAGGTTTGCCACCTTTATTTTCTAAAAATAAGAAAATATGTTTCATATGTAAATTTGAGGGCTTATTCTTCTTTTTGAATGTCGTTAAGTGCTGCAACCTCCCAGCACATGCATCTCTCTAGTCAAATGTCTTAAAAGTATAACCTTAAAACAAGAAAGCATATGCCCCTGCTGAATACATATTTATGGAAGCATATGTAACTTTGTGAAAATTGGAAATTTACTCCTTTGTGTCGTGGTGTAATTCCAGTTAGCAGAATACCATGAAGTCACTCTCACAGGTTCCCCCTCTCCTCTTCCAGACAAGGGGAAGAATCGGAGGAGAAAGAAACAAGGAAGCTTATAAAATTGAGATCAGAACTATTTACTAATTGAATCTAAATGAATATATACCAATACTACTAAGTAATTAAAATAATAGAAAATAAAACATATGATACAGTATGATACAATTATAATACAGTTGCTCACCACCCTCTGACTGATGCACAGCCAGGTCCTGAGCAGTAGGAATTAGAGCCAGAGAGCCCGAGAGCCGCAGCCCAAGAGTGATCGCAGCAGAGTCCAAGTGAACCCTATCAGCGACAGTACGACTGGGAAAACTAACAGCCACACCAAGTCATTCCAGAATGAGCCAGCAAAGGAGTTAGCCAAGCAGCTAATGCAGGAGTTAGAGAGCTAGCAAGTGTAAGGAAGTACGAGAGAGAGAAGAGTAATAGCTCCTGGACCCCCTCCTCACCTCTGCCCTGAGCATGACCTACTATGGAATGAAATACTTCCTTGGTCAGTTTGGGTCAGCTGCCTGAACTCTCTGTCCCCTATGCTGCCTGTACTGAGACAGCGAGAGCTGGGAATGCAGCTGCAGGATCAGAAGTGGAGAAAGACCTTGAAACTGGTGCAGCCATTCCCCATTGCCAGCTAAGAACTTATCAGTACTTCTCTACGTAATTCCAGGAACACAGCTTCCTAGCACTCACAGTAAAGAGAGTTAACTCTTTCCTGACTAAACTGAGCACAGACTGTGAACATTGTCAGGAGTGCAAAGCTCCATAATGTACTATCATTGTAATGTAAAAAGAGCTTGAATGCAAGATGAACTCACTTCCTATTTCTGGCCAATTAAAAAGCATGTACACAATGTCCTATCTTCTTCCAGAAACTATAAATAAGTACCCACTGGGCTTACTTGCTTACATGTTCTACTTCTCCAACTTCTAATTTATGTCTTTAAATTACACACAGTATATAGAAGGGCTCGTCTAATTTCTTTAAGCAGATACAGAATCTCAAATTTCCTCCTAACCCTTTCTGTAAAGCTTGTTTCTCATTTAAGCTGCATTTTTTCTCTCTTGTGTGTAGCATCTAACTCAACAAATTAACAAAAAAATTGCATGTAGACTTATCCAATTCTGAAAGTATTAAATTCTGTTTCAGTCTTGTGGATGCATTCTTCTTTAATCATGTGGCCATCTGGATCAACTGCAAGACCAGCAACACGTGGAAGTAAACAAAGC